TCTTACAGTATTTGTCTTCCTCTGTCTGCCTTAAACCAATCAGTATTACACCCTCTAGGTCGATTCATGTCACAAACGGCAATATCTTATTCTTTTCATGGCTGAGTAATATTCCATTGTATAGATACCACCTCTTCTTTATCTATTCATCTATAGATGAACACTTAAGTTGCTTTCATATTTTGTCTATTGCAAATAACTCTGAAATGAATACAGGGGTTCATATATCTTTTCAAATTAGTACTTTTGTTTTCTTTGGATAAATACTTAGAAGTGGAATTGCTGGATCACATGGTAGGTCTATTTTTAATTTTTTGAGGAACCTTAATACTTTTTGTCATAATGGCTGCACCAGTTTAAACTCCCACCAATAGCGCATGCAGGTTCCCTTTTCTTCACATCTTCACCAACACTTTCATAATAGCCATTCTGACTGTGTGAGGTGATAACTCATTGTGGTTGGATTTGCATTTCCTGGATAATAATAGTGATGTCAAGCATCTTTTCAACATGTGCATGTTGGCCATCTGAATGTCTTCTTTGGAGAACTGTCTATTCTGGACCACTGTTCATTCTTTAATTAGATTGTTTCTTTATTTTGAATTATTTATTATATTTTGGAGTTGCCTTTATATTATTATTATTATTTTAAAGAACAGTTTATTGATTTTTATAGAGGGACAGGGAGAGAGAGAGAAATATCGATGTGAAAGCACAACATCTATCTGCTGCCTCCTGCACAACCCTTTCCGAGGATCAAACCACAACCCAGGCACATGCCCTTGACTGGGAACCAAACCGGCAACCTCTAGGAGCGTAGGATGAGGCCCAACCAACTGAGCCACACCAGGCAGGGCAGTTGTCCTTTGATTTGTTAATGTTTCCTTCGCTGTGCAAAAGTTTTTAGTATGATGGAGTCCTATTTGTTTTATAATTGCTTCTGTTGTCCTTGCTCAAGAAGACATATCCTAAAAAAATTATTGCAAAGACTGATGTCAAAGAGTTGACTGTCTATGTTTGCTTCTAGGAGTTATGATTTCAGATTTTACATTTAAGTCTTTAATACATTTTGTGCTTATTTTTGTATATAGTGTAAGAAAGTGATCCAAAGTCATTTTTCTGCAGGTAGCTCTCCAATTTTCCCAGCACCATTTTTTTCAAGAGACTTTTCCCCATTGTTTATTTTTTCTTCCTTTGTTATAAATTACTTGATCATATAAGCGTGGGTATTTCTGGGCTCTCTATTCAGTTCCATCAATCTATATGTCTGTTTTTCCTTTACTAGTGAGGTATTTTTCTTTCATATATTTTCTTTTGGTTTTGGCCTCTCTTTTCCACTTAAAAAAGTTTCTTTGGCATTTCTTGTAATGCTGGTTTACTGGTGATGAACTCCGTTAGCTTTTGCTTGTCTTGGAAACTCTTCTTCAATTCTGAATAACAACTTTGCTGAGTAAAATATTCTTGGTTGTAGGTTTTCTCCCTTTAATCACTTTGAATACAGTGCCATTTCCTTCAGGCTTGAAATTTTCTGTTTAAATTTCAACTAATAGTTTTATGGGGGTTCCCTTGTACTTAACTAGTTGTTTTACTATTGCTGCTTTTAATATTTAACTTTTGAAATTTTTAATTATCATCTGTCTGGTGTGAGTCTTTTTGGGTTATCTTGTTTGGGACTCCGTGATTCCTGGATTCGGATGTCTGTTTCCTTCACCAAGTTAGAGAAAATTTCAGCCACTATTTCTTTAAATATGTTTTCTGTCACTTTCACTCTCTCTTTTTCTTCTGGAATTCCTATAATGTGAATATTAGTGTGTTTGATGTTGTCCCAGACATCCCTTAAACAATTCTAATTTTTTAAATTATTTTTTGCTGTTCTGATTGGGTGATTACCACTACCATGTTTTCCAGAGTGCTTATTTGTTTTTTTACATCATCTAATTGATGCTAATTCCCTCTAGTGTATTTTTAATTTTAGTTATCTTATTCCTCAGTCCTGATTATATTTTATATCTCTTTGTTGGAGTTTTCACTGTGTTCATTTATTATTCTTCTGAATGTGGTGAGCATCCTTATGATTATTTTGAACTCTTTATCTAGTGCACTGCTTATCTCCATGTTGTTTAGTTCTTTTTCCTGGGGTTTTGTCATGTTCTTGTTCTTTTGCTATAAGACCCTGCCACAATTGTTTCAGGTATGCTGGTGGACAGGGCTAGTCCATGACCCAGTTGTCAGTGAAGCTTGGGCATGACTCCTGTGAGTGCACAAAGGACAGAGCTTCACCCTGGCCTGGCTGGCTACGAGGCCAGGCTGCAATTTCTGTGGGTGTGCTGGTGTGCAGGTAGACCCCAACATGGCTAGCTGCAAGTCTCAGCCTCAACTGTTGTGGACATGCTGATGTGTGGAGTGAGAGTCACTCTATAGGGACACTTGTCTTAGACAAAGCTGTCCATCAGGAATGGCAGGGTGGGGTGGGGCTGCTTTGGAAGGGTACCAGTGCTGGCAAAGGATGCCCAACAGGTGTGGCAGGGTGGGAGCTGCTCTGGAGTGATGCCGGGTGGAGTGAGGAGATTGGGTGGGGTTGAATCTCAGGGGAACACCAGGCAGGGTGAACAATATTAGAAAATTTAATGGAGAGTGTTAGGAATGGTGCACACCAGCTCTAGACCAGCTAGGAATGTAAAAAATAAATGGTGTTGGCCAGTGCTTTGGTCCCCAGAGAAAGATTTCTGCCCCTCCAGCCCTGCCCCGAAATTAGTCAATGTATCTCCTTCATGTGTGGCGCAAGAGTCTTTCAAACTGCTGCCAAGGTGCTGGACCTCCCAGTCAGTGAGTTTGTGCACAAGCCCGTTCGGAGCAGAGTCTTGGTTCCCTAAAGCCATTACGTCTCCTGGACATAAGCCCCACTGGTTTTCATAGGCAGATGTTATGGGGACTTCTCTTCCTAGTTTAGTTACGCCAGGCTGGGGAGCTCAATGTAAGGCTCATATCCGTCACTTGGGGGGAACTCCATGTTGGTGAAATCCCTCCAACTTGTGGGTAGCCACACTGGGGGTGTGGCTCGTGACTAGACCGCCTACCTTTTCAATGTGGCTTTTTCTCTAAATCCTTGGTTGTAGACAATCTATTCTGCTAGTCTTTAGGCCATTTTCAAAGATATCTGTTCTACATGTAGTTGCAGTTTTGGTGTGTCCATGGGGGTAGATAACCTCAAGATGTGCCTAACACACCACTTGACCCCCTCGTCTTTCGCTCGTTCGGAAGCTGGTTTAACACTGGGGGCTGTGACTTTAATAAGGCCAGAGAACTGAGTGGAAAGGCAGCTTGGAGGAGAAAGGTGTAGAGATTAAACATCTTCAGCCCACAACATAATGGCAGGAAAGTGTCCTTCGGGAACCATGTACTATGGCAGGGTTCTGAGATGAGGTAAAAATAAAACTGCATCTTGCACTTTGTGTTTGCTGTAATGTCGCAGTCGGAATGGCCCATTGAGCACCACGCCGTGTAAAATGTAGATCGGCTCCATGCAGCTCATACTCAGTGAGCCACCAGCACACCCACGGCCCTCGATGTACCAGGCAGGCATAGTGCCCAACATGCTGCATCATTATGTCATTGAATCTTCATTGAAATTCTCAAGGCATTAGCATCCTCACTTTAAAGTGGACAAAAATTCAGCTTCTGAGAGACAGTGTTCCTTATGTAAGTAATTATGGCACCTGAGATTCAAAAGCAGGATTACCTGAATTTGGAATTAATTAAGTGTTTCAGGAACTATTAGACTTTAGAACTGGAGAGTGTCCTAATGAGCCCAACCTCTTGGTTTTCTCAATGAGGAAAAAAAAAAAACCTGGAGAAAACCAGGAGCCCTACATAGACCCCCAGGTAAAAGTAAAGGACGTCGCTGGAGTCTTGCAGAGGAAGACCCAGCACAAGCTCAGCAGCTGCGCGTTCCGTGCACACTGTGCTCACACTGAGGGCCAGCCGTGACCCAGACAGGGTCAGGGAAAGGGAAGGGAGGCAAGAGGCCAGTGCATCCCCCACCAGCTTTCTCTCCCCAGTGCCCCAATAGAACTGCAAAGGCACAGACAAAAATCTGTCTCAAGACTAGATTTTCTAAACTATTGTGTAGGTGGGCAGTTAGAGTTAGCTTCACAGTCAGTGATCATTTGCATAGGGAATGGGGAAAAGGCAGGAGGATATCTAACCTTTATCTAGTGCTATCATGGCCCAGATAAATGTATTACTGACAGTCCCATTCTCAACACTAAAAAAAACCCCTGTAGATTTTGGCATCAGACCAGGTTTGCTTCCAGATTGGTTGATTAGTAGCTAGGGAAATGTGAGCCTTGCTTCCGCATGTGCAAAGTGGAAGCAATTATAAGCAATTATAAAGTGGAAGCATTTCTCATAAAAATGTTAGCATCTTTTCTCCACACCTGTTCCTTCTCTTTCCTGCCTTTGAGGGATAAGATCTGCATTTAGAATTACAAAAATGACCCTTCTTGAAGTAAGAGAAGAATTTGGGGCTAACGGTCAACTTTATCCTTAGAACATTCTTATAGGCTTCGTCAGATTTGATTCCTCCCCTTTCAAAGGTAAGAAAATTGAAGTGGTGACTCCCTGCTTATCTCTAGTTAGTGACACAGCGTGGCAGTAGGCGCCATGAGAAGGATCTGACCGAAGGAAAACCAGGGAATGTCAAGACTTCAACTGCGGTCCTAGTTTCTGTGTCTAGACCTATACAATATGCAATATGCGTTATAACACTGCTCTGTCTATCTCAAAGTCAGCGCTGTGTGGTCTGAAATGCGATCAAAGTGGGAAAAAGCTTTTTAAAAAATCCTCTTTGAAAGAAGAAATGTCACAAGATACTGACTCTCAAACCTACCAGCCCTTTGTATAGAGTTTTATCCAATAAACTTTGCTGCTTCAAGAAAAACAATCTGTTTGAATTTACATTTAAACACAATTTCTAAATGGTTTCCCTTCTTTGTGCATAGACTACCTTCATGTCACGAGTGTTCACCTGTTCAAGGAGCAATGGGACGCCAACAAAGTGGATCACCACACTGACAAGTACAACAACAACAATCTGATTGTACGTAGAGGACAGTCTTTCTACATCCAGATTGACTTCAATCGTGCATACGACCCCAGAAAAGATCTCTTCAGAGTGGAATATGTCATTGGTGAGTGCCATGTGCGAGCCTTAGTCATGACAGTCCATCTGTGTCATAGTGTCATGTTAGTCATGACACTGAGTCACAAAATGAAGGGTGGGTACAGGTTCAGGTGTATTATTTCCCAGAGTCACACTTTAACAGTTGGCTAAAGCCAAAATTACATTCAGCCCCTGACAACCCTATGCTTTAAGATGGGTCTGTATAATGCCAAACATCAATAATTTGGGTCTACCCAAGCAAAACTCTGGTATAAGTAAAAGTGAGTACAATTGGCATAAATGTTAGTTAAATTATTTTTCCTCAAATGGTTCTGGCATCCTATACTTGCAACTTTTGATTTATCCCTCTACCCTATGACTTAATTGATCGTATATGCAGAAAATCTTTGCAAATCTTAGTATACAATCTCCATCTAAGCATTTCCCAAAAGTTTGTTCTGAGTTAACATACAGAAAATCTGCTTATATATATATATGCCCATATATAAACACATTAAAAGAAAAATCAGGCAATCAAGTCAATAGTCACTAAAAAATAACATGATTAAATTCAACAGTTGTTCTTATAAAATCTTAAATAAAAGAAAATAGAAGAAATCCTCCCAATTATACTAAGTATTATTTACCCAGAGCTACAACTTTTGACATCCTAAGTGGTAAAAAATTAGTAATTTTAATAATAACCAGAAATTAGAGATGCCTGCTATCACCATTCCTTTTTAAAGCATTGCTCTACAGGTTTTAGCAAATGAACAATATATGAGAAATATCTACTATAAACATTAGAAAATAAGAGATAAAGTTATACTTTATTAATTAATGTTTATACATGTAGAAAACCCAACAGATTAAAGGAAAAAAGCACAGAACTAATAAAACTTTGTAAGATGGTTAGATAGAAATCAGTAGCTTTTCTACCACTAAAGGCCTACAAATTATATATATATATATATAATTATATATATATATCCCATTTATAAAAGTAAATAAAACTATCAAATGTAGAAAGAAATTTTATAAAACACAATCTATGTAAAGCACCATAATATCTTAATAAAAAACATGAAATACAAATAAAAGGCAAATATGTTCTTGGATATGAACTCTCAATATATATTTTTAAATGGTCTCCCAAGATTAAAATGTAAATTTAATTCATTTCCAATTAGAATCCCAATGGAAGGTTTTTTTCCTGGTTTTTTTGTTTTTGTTTTTGTTTTTGACTGGATTAAATAACAGTTACTTTGAAAGAATAATTACCTGACAATAACCAAGAAAATTATATAAAGAAATAATAAGTAAAGAGCATTTTCCATCAGAAACAGCTATAAGAGCATATAATAAAAATAATTTAGTAGAACAGAGAATCCGGAAATAGACCTCAGTATATAAGATTATTTAATACAATTATTTAATGGAGTGAAAAAAGTGTGTGGATTTTTCTGTTTTTTTTTTATTTTTTTATTTTTATTTGTTTGTTTGTTATTGTTCTTTTAATAAATTAAATGATGCAGAAATAACTAGAGTTTTGTATTTTGATATTTTAGTATACATATGAATATATATTATATATGTAATATATAATGTATGTAAATATATATATATGTTATGTATATACCCTAATACAAAAAATGACAATATTTATGACCAAATGGCCAAAATATAAATGCATGACCAAAAATACCACAAATAAATTCAACAGACAAAAGAAATCTGGAAAAATATTCAAAACGTACATTAGAGATAAAAGTTTAACATAGAAAGCAGAAAACTCTTACAAATTGGCAATATAAAGACAAGCAATAGAAAAATATGTGAAGTATATAAAGAGACATTCCACAAAAGAAAAAATCCAAATGGGCTGTAATCATATTTAAATGTGCTCAAATTCACAAGTACAGTGGAAAAGCAAATCAAACCAATATCTATCGGACTGCCAGAAATGTAGAAAAGACTATAATCCCTGTAATATCTGGTATGTAGAGAAAAGCATATATTACTGATATAAATGTACAATTTTATAACCTTTTTAGAAAGCAATTTGTCGTATCTATTAAATTAAAGAGACATATGGCTTTTGACCCAGTAATTACAGTCTGAGGAACTTATATCAAACATATTGAAAATACAGTTTATAAAGGTGGGTATTATTTACTGCAGCATTATTTATAGTGACAATAAATAAATAAATATCTCTCAATAGTTAAATGGTTAAAAATATTGTTATATAGTCACATAATGGATTGTCATTTAAAATTTATTCTTCTTTATTGATTTTAGAGAGAGAGGAAGAAAGAGAGAGAGAGAAACATCGATGAGAGAGAACATCAATTGGCCGCCTCCTGCATGCCCCCCACTGGGTATCAGGCCCACAACCTGGGCATGTGCTCTGACAGGGAATCGAACCGGCGACCTCTTGGTGCATGGGTTGATGCTCAACCACTGAGCCACATCAGCCAGGCCGGATTGTCATTTTAAAAAAAGAATAAATTTGCCCTGGCCTGTTTGGCTCAGTGGTTAGAGTGTTGGCCTGCGGTCCAGAGAGACCCGGGTTTGATTCCTGCTAAGGGCACGTACCTCGGTTGCAGTTTGTCCTTGGCCCTGGTTGGGTCGTGCAGGTGGCAGCCACTCGATGTGTCCCTTTCATGTCAATGTTTCTCTCTCTCTCTCTCTCCCTCCCACTCTATCTGAGCAAAGAATGGAACAATGTCCTTGGGTGAGGATAAAAAAAAAAAGAATAAATTAGATCCATGCCAGGGGACTTCAAGAGATGTAGTGAATGAAAAAAAATACAGATGCGTGAGCATAAGCTCTTCTACGTGTGTGTAACTGTATATATGAACAGCTCTGTGTAGCATTGAGCGTGGAAAAGAACATGAAACACACGGGTGTTGACATGGGTTCCTTGGTGGGAGTGTAGCCAAAATAAGTGAAGCAAAAGAAGGGGAGTCAAGCGAGAAAACGATAAAAAGAAGCAGGAATGATGTTTATATGAAGGCATCTTTGTAAAGTTATTGATCTATGTGGGAGTATATGTAAAGAAACTAAAAATAATTTCATTAAAACTAAAACCACTTTCCTAGAAAAAAACTCTATGACCCTCACTGCTTGAGTAATCTATTTGTGCTTATTTGCATCTGCAGTGCAAATCTGTACACTGATGTGGGAGAACTGGTTGGAGCCAGGGTAGAAGTGGGAGAGGAGAAAAGAGACTCCTGAGTCCGAATAACAGCATCAGTGTGATGCGTGGGTCCTGCTGGAATGTTGTGACCCCAGCTGTGGAGAAAGGGGGGTGGGGGGGATTAAGTTACTCTTCCTGTGTCAGGGAAAATGAAATAATCCCAAATTAATCACATTTAGGGAACAGACTATTATGGTTAATATTTTTTAATAACGGTACTTTAATTGAGAAACGAATCCACAGCTAGTATTTTAAACAATATTTTAAAATCTGCTGAAAGTGTATTTCTATTTCTTTCCCTAAGTTTATTTATCTGTCTCTTTTGTGTGTTTGTGCACACGCTTGCTTGGACTAGATTTGATTAAAATGCCCTTGACACATTTATAATGGAACAATCGCTCCACGAATGTCAAGAAATACCCATTTGAAACTCTGTCCACGGTTCACAGTAATCTCTCTGCCTTTAGCCAGATAACTGGGGCAGGGAGAACAGGGCGGGGAGCTTTGCCCCTGACTTGGCCTCATCCCAGGTCTGAGACCTTCTCCCACGGACCATTCAGAAAATAAGAGCAGTGGCGGGAGTTTGGGGGCGGATGATAAGATGGGTTCTCAGGCAATGAGCGCCGAGAAGGCAGTTCGTGTGCAGACCGTCTCCTGGGGTGTGCGCCCAGGATGGGCGGCTGGAGAGCCCCGGCGGCCAGAGGGAGGAGTTGAACTGCCACCAACAAAAGCCTCCGCGGACTCCACGGTGAGTTCTGGACCAGACTGGATCTTCAGATCGTCGCCTTGAGGCCAGGATGTGGGCCCTTTCTCCTTAGCATGGCCTGGCCACTGGCCACAGGCCACCCGCAGAAGAGGGTAACTCCTGGCCGTGAGCCACCGACACCCCTGCAGGGCCGGCGCCGCCACAGCGTCCAACGCGGTGGCCCTGCAGTCCTCTGATCCAAAGGCACGAATTCCTCCTGTTCCTTCAGTAACAACGTGGGGGAGGGAGCATGGAGAATCTGCTTTCAAGATAAAAATTTACATATTTTAAAAACCAACATGTTTTAAACCCTTCTTCGAGAACATGCAGCGGTTCTCAACCTGTGGGTCGCGACCCCTTTCACAGGGGTCGTCTAAGACATAACAATGGCAAAATTACAGTTATGAAGTAGCAACAAAAATAATTTTATGGTTGGGGGTCACCACAACATGAGGAACCGTATTAAAGGGTCGCGGTATCAGGAAGGCTGAGAACCATGAAGCGGCCTTTGAGAGTTCAGCTCTATTCCAATATGTACGGCCTGTCACAGGCACTCTTACAGCAAGTCCTCATTTAACATCATCTATAGGTTTTTGGAAATTGCCACTTGAAGCAAAATGACGTATACTGAAGCCAATATTATGGCAGGCTAACTGATACAAACAAGAGTTAAGTTCCTACGGCATATTTCTGGTGCCCCCAAATCGTCAAACTTCTAAATAAAGACCCAAAGCACTTCCCATATTAAACATTGAAATAAATGTGAGCTATACGTACATTTAAGAAAGATGAATGAAACAAGTAAGATCATTATTTTTTAACCCACTGATTCCGGTTCAGGGCCGTGGGTGTTCAGAGCCGCTCCTGGCCCCTCCCGTGCCCACCCTAGACAGGCATGGCAGCACCCCCCCCCCCACACTCTCTCTCAAATCAGGACAATGCAGACACGCCCACTCACCTTACTTGCAGGCTCGGGGGTGGGAGGAAACTGGAGTCCCCAAGAAAACCCACACCGATGTAGGGGGACGTGCATAGTTCACGGACGGTGGCCCTGGCGGGAAACTGATTTTTTCTCCTATAA